TACCTTGGTAACTAAATCAAGAAAAATATAGGCTTCACTCCTGAGATAAGTATCATCGTCTTTTTGTTGACAAAATTAGATTCTAAAATTGATTAAGGATCTCTTATATTCTCAAATTATCTTTCTATTTATATTATCTCTTTAGATAGATTGAAGCTAAATAGGAATTAAATATCATTGTCCAGGGGAGAAATGCAAGTGAAATTAAGAAAATATATATATTAATATGTACCTCTATTTATAAATAACTAGTTTAGAATGACTATACTTGGTAGATTGTGAGTTTTTTCTTGTCTTTATTGTACATGCATAAATTTGGTTCAATATTTTTGTTTATTTTGTGACCGAATTAGATAGTTATGCTTTCATACATTGATATTTTTTTTGTTTTTATAGGTACCTCTTAATAATTATTATAAGATATAATACCTGCAATATCTAAAAGCTAAGTTAGTAAAAAATTTGTCAATTGATTTCTTCAGTTGATTTCATTCCATTAACACATTATTTGTCCCACTTTTCTTTTATTATTCCTCCAGACAAATCTTTCATGCTGTGTTCTATTCTCTTTCAATTACCTACTTAGAAACAAAGAATTTATTTTCAGGATTAAAGAAAACAAATTGTTAACATAATATTGTAATCCATCCTCATAGTTATTGCCTCTACACATATGCTTGTTTTGTTCGGATAGTTATTACACTGACAAAAATGAGTATTTTATTGTCATTTCTGAAATAAGAAGTAATAGAATTTTCTTTAAAGGTTTTTTAGAAGCTCATTGCTTTTGTACCATTCCTTTTGTAGAACCTTCGAATGCTATTCCATTCTAGAAATTGAACCCTTCAAGAATTGGACTATTTGAGCCTAATTATGAGATTATTTATCTAAGAGCACATGTCCTTAGTTATACTGCATAGGTTTCAATTGATGTCATATATTACCATACTTCTGGACGTTTTTTATTCATATATAATTGAATTTCTCCAGTTTCATATTTGAAGTAGATGATTCCAAGTAGTGGTGAATTCAGAATTTTTACGAAGTGGTTCAAGATATTAAAATTAAAATTGTGACAAAAAGGGGGTTCAAACTGAGATTGGCTAGGAAAATTGAATCTTCTTCACTACTTGGTCTAGGGTCATATTTGTGTTATTGGGATCAAAAGTCAATATATACATAAAACTTTAAACATTGATTACATATACATCTATATACGGTGTTATTTTTCAATGAAGTATGTTCATATGACCCCACTTGACCCACTATAGATCCGTCTCTCATGTCGGGAACAACATTGTAAGTTTCTTTCAGCTTAAGTAGACCCTTTACTATCCACCACATATTAAAAGTTTGATTAATTAGGACAAAAAGCTCTACAATCCTGACGCACTTGCAAAATAAAATTCACATGGATCTAATAAAATAACAATCAAGAATAGATGATTAGTAGTCTTAATTTCATGACATTCACAACGGATACATCTAGAAACTATAAGAATACACATTTAGGTAGAGCTTCATTTATATAAATTTCCTTTTTATGTTCTTCAAGAGAAAAAGATTATTTAAATATCCTCCAACAATTCAGCAGTGTTATTATTGCATGTTATATCTTGTAGGTCATCCCATAGTTCTAGTCTCTCTAAGGCATTGCATCTTGCGTATATAGTTGTCACCTTGAATTTGTCACCTGTATCCCTTAGTTTATAACTAATTGTGAGCTCTTGTATTGTATCTTTATAATCTTCTTCTCCCATTTTTCACTCCAAAAGCTTCATATCTTTGTTGATAGCTTTACCTAAGCATTATGCATCCCAATCTACTCTTGAATTTTTCCAGTTCATTAGGGCTTTGAAAATGTTTCAATATTGCTATGTAGGAGTAATGATGTCTCATGTTCAGGTCTATTAATCTCTCAGTAGAATTTTGAGTCTTAACAGATATGATGTTTCAGAATAGTAATTTGTCAATTATTGAGATATTGAGGTGAGACCCTTCCTACTCTTTTTTTTACATATGAAAGTATTTCTGATTGCTTTACTCCCTCTTTGTTTTTGCCTTGAAGTTGTCCAATCCTCCTAAGGATAGTTTTCCTTTCTTGCTTATGCCTTATATAATTTCTTTTATATTATTATCTTTCTCTTCTAGCAACTTTTTTCTATCTCTAGTTGAGATATATGATTAATCTTTGGTGCCTTATGTGGGATAAGTACCCCTTTGTTTTCTTGTTCCATTTTTCATCCACTGTGTCCCCAACTGATTCTTCATTTTACACATTGCTGCAGTATACACTACCTGATGACTAGTTCATTTTCAGCTCTACTTGCTACTGAATTGTGGCTTGTATTTGTATTATGTGTTGTTCCTTCTTTTGTATGTGAGTTGCTGCTTCCAGGAGTTCTTACTCCATGACTTTGAATATCTTTTAACATGTTCTCCTCTTGCCTATATTGTTGTTTGTGTTTTTGTTCTTACATATATATTTTGTGAATCTCCATGTTCCCCAGTAATTTCATTTTCTTTATGCATGATGTTAAATAATATCATCTCCCCTTACCTTAAGATCATTACCCATGTTATTTTATCCTACTCCAGTGTCATTGTTGTCCTCTAATTCTTCAAATTGTTAGCTACTGTTACCATTCTATTTTTTTCTGTTCTTGTTTCAGATTTTGAAACCTGCTCCATTCTTCATTCATAGTTTAAATTTACTTTGTTTTGCGAATAACTTTACTTTTGTTGTTCTTTGAAATCACTACCTTCCTTAATCCCATAACCTACGTTGTCATTGTGACCCTATCACCTTGGTTGTTCACAACCCTTCCTGCATTGGTATCCTCTTTTGTATTGTTCTTGTTCCTATCCTCCACTTCCTCTTCTTTGGGGTATAATTCTGGATGAAAGAAAAAATATTCCACTTCAGTATGTCCTTGTAATTTATAATTTGTGCAGTATTTTGGTAATCATCATATTTGATAGTGATCCACTTCTCCTTGATTTCTCTTGTCTTCTTTCTCATACCAACATTAATTCTCCTCGGAAATTCTCCCAGTAAATCAACACTCACTTTGATCCTAAAAAACTTGATCGAGTCTTATTTTTCGTGGCCAAATCCACTTGTTGAGCTTTTTCTACTATAACTGTCATCGAAAATATTGCTTCCTTACCAAAAAAGTTTGGTGGTAGCGATGAGAATGAGAGCCATCCAATGACTATGGAAGTTTCTTCCTCCAGATCAAATAAAGGTCTCATTCAAGAATTCACATGGGGTAGGTTAAGTGGTTATGCATTATGTAAAACTATGATTTTCATAGCAAGGTGACATAATCCTCTATCTCTGTAGCCCTTATGAGAATATATTTGTTAGTTATCAATTCAATATTTACTTTTCCCTTTAATTCATATTGCTTTGGTATTTTTCTCCATGGATCTTGTATCTCAGGCCATCAGTAGAAAAAGTTTCCTATTACTCCATATTGTAATTCTTCATTTAAAATCACGTGATCGTCTTTCTCCTCCTCCCAAATAATTCTTGGTTCTCCATGTAGGCATGCAATTTGCTTTATCGGGATCGATTTGTGGGATGGTTTGGTTTGTTAGACTATATTGACAAAGATTGTTATTGATGATTGTCTAGTGTTAAATAGGATATGTTAAGTTAACTCAGCTGCCAATGGTGGTGGCTGACCTATAACCATCATGGCCATAATGATCGGCGACAAAAAGTAGGTTTGATTAAGAAATCATAGTCTCTTGATGGTAATTTATAATTAGGAAAATCAACCTTCGAATATTTTTCATTAATCTCCTATTGTATTTGTAGTTGTCCATCATCATTTGTTGCAACAATTTGAGTATCATTTCTATCTTTAACTCATTTGTTGTTATCTACTATTCTACTCTATCACCCCTTTAGAAAGGTAAAGACGATGTAGTCCTTTCCTTCTCCTAGTCGTGCATGTTATTTTTTATTTGTGTTGTAACTTGATGGTTGCTGTTTAATTAACATGATGCTACATCGTGTGGATGCTTTATCGCTTGGAGGCAAAATAGTGAGCTCGCCCATCATTACCATGATGAACTTTTTTGTTAATGACTTGATGTTGCACGTTCCTATTATCAACTTTATTTGTTTTGTTAATCATTATTTTCATGCATTTCCTACTTGGAAGTTTTTCTACTGTTGTTTTTTTAGTTTCTCCATTATTATTATTGGCCTTGTACTTTATGTGTTTTCCCCTTTTATCTTTTCTAATTATTTTCATCCTACATAGTGCATTAAATTTATTACATGGAACCACCTTTTCTCCTTGTTCATAGCCTTGCTCGAACTAGCCATATGAATATTTTTTGTATTTCTTGCTTGCTAGTTGTTATGATTACCCACCAAATTGCCACTAAATAAAATTTCAATTTAGCATGTCTGTATCCTTCTTACACGGTTTAGATTATTCTGTCCTTCATCATTGGATTACCTCAGTTGTATGGAGGCATGCCATGGTACATCCCACCTGGTGGAACCCTGACGCAACTCCTGGTCGTGGTACCTGTGAAGGATAAGCCGACTGCAAACCATAATTACCACCATCTGGATACCCTCCCGAAGTAGGCATTCCAGCAGAGCTTTGAGGCATCATGTACCCAATGTAATTCGTTATGACGAAAAAAATCAGATAAAGGTGACGGAAGGCGTGAAAGGATGAAAAAGCTGAAAAACGATGGAATTTCTGATTTTATCATCAAAAGAAGATGTGTGCTACTTGTTTAATTTTATACAAGTTTAAGTGTCGACTTATACATATATAAAATTAGAAGGACATAATTATCTATTGAAACCAAGTTAAGTGTCATAGTTAACAAAGAATCCAAATCAAGTAGAAGCATATGGGCCTCATCCAGACCCGACACCAAGAAGAGCCCGGATGTGTCAATTATACGGTGTCGTAAGGAGGAGGATTAGCATCTCAGCCTTATATATATAAGTAAACAGTAGCCTCCTTGTAGGGTTTTATATATTCCATAACGCCTTCTCCCAAATAATTCAGGCTTTCTCTCTTTAGGGTTTACAGTTCTCTTCTCTGAGTGAAAATGGATCTATCAAAGAAGCGCAAAACTGATGAGAACGGCGGTGCTTATCCTGTAAAAACCGAACTCGTCACAACTGCCGCCGCCCCACCGGCACTTGCTGTTCTTTCCCCGGAAGACATTGACAAAATTCTTGAAACGTTCACCAAGGACCAGTGCGTTTCAATTCTCCGTAACGCCGCCCTGCGCTATCCTGATGTTCTCGAAGGTTTACGTGCTGTCGCTGACGCCGACGTATCTAACCGCAAGCTTTTCGTTCGTGGTCTTGGGTGGGAGACCACCACTGACAAACTCAGACAGGTTTTTTCTGAGTTTGGAGAACTTGATGAGGCTGTTGTTATAACTGATAAGGCGTCTTCCAGATCTAAAGGGTATGGTTTTGTAACTTTCAAGCATGTTGATGCTGCTATTCTTTCTTTAAAGGTGCCCAACAAGATAATTGATGGACGTGTTACCGTCACACAGCTTGCTGCTGCGGGTAATTCTGGGAATTCTCAGTCTTCTGATGTTGCGCTTAGGAAGATCTATGTTGGTAATGTTCCATTTGAAATTTCGTCTGAAAAGCTTTTGAATCACTTTTCCATGTATGGAGAGATTGAAGAGGGGCCTTTGGGATTTGATAAACAAACTGGAAAAGCGAAAGGATTTGCTTTTTTTGTCTACAAGACTGAGGATGGAGCTAGGGCATCGTTAGTTGATCCCGTGAAGACCGTAGAAGGACATCAGGTCTTGTGTAAATTGGCAACCGATAATAAGAAGGGGAAGCCGCAGAATATGGGGCACGGGGGTGCCCCTGGAATGAATGCTGGACTTGTAGGAATGCCTGGTGATGATAGGGTTGGATCCATGCCTGGTTCCAATTATGGTGTTCCTGTAAGCGGTATGGGTCCATATTCAGGGTTTTCAGGTGGGCCTGGTCCAGGAATGCAGCAGCCACCACCTCAGCCTGGGATGGTGGCACATCAGAATCCACATCTGAATTCAGCTATTGGCGGGCCTGGATATGGAAACCAAGGACCGGGATCCTTTACAGGTGGTGCTGGTGGATATGCTGGCGCGGGTGGATATGCTGGCGCTGGTGGGTATGGGGGTAATTCTGGGGATTATGGTGGGTACAGGATGCCTCAAAGCTCTGCTGGAATGCCTAGTTCAGGAGGTTTTCCAGATGGTGGTAGTTATGCTTTACAGTCGGCTTATCCGACACAGGTACCACAACCAGGAGCTGGGTCAAGGGTTCCACCAGGTGGGATGTACCAGGGCATGCCTCCATACTACTGAGGTAATCCTATTGAGTTTATTTAAAGTTATACATGTCAACATATGATTCACTGAGTATTGTTTATGCATATATTTGTTGAGCAACTATCTGAGGTGTTTTGGTTTACGAACTTACTATTTCTTGTTTGATATTTGTGTATTTACATGTTTCATTAGAGTGCTTGGCCTACAGTTTGTGGACTAGTACTGTTTTTTTTCTCTATGTTAATTTGGTGAGCTGATAGCGTCATACTTGTTCTTGAGTGAAGTATCCCAAGGGGGTCCATATCTTGTATCAGTTTTTCATCTAGAGGATGGTGTTGGGTTGAAGATATAAAGGAATGTCTTGTATATTTTTCTGCGGCTCTCTGTAATTAATTACTTTTATTGTCCCAGTTAATGTGAAATCACGACACCATTCTATTTGATAGCAATTGGGAATAAGCCATAAAGCTTGAGAGAACATAGGAGACTATATTGGTGAAGGGGTTAATTGTCTCTGTGAAAGTAGTATGGAAATGGTTACCTGAGATTGCTTTCCTCTTTTACGATTTTCCTTTCTTCCACAGAAGTGCACGGCATGGGAGTGGATCTACTTGCACTAATCTAGTGCGTGGCTTATGTCCATCCCCTGTACTTTGAAAATGATTTGTATTACAAATTTATGCCCTCAACAAGTTTTATATGCTGGAATCTTGAATGATTGAATCGTATGTGGATATCTGTTCAGGTGTCTTGAGAGCTTCTTGGATGCAACATGCTTTTAATGGTTGTGGTGATTTCCTGATTGCAGACTCTGAAATCTTTGGTTACATGGACTGCTGTACATCTGTTGCCGCTTCACCTATATGTGTGGCTGTTAGTTGATACTTGCTAGTATTAAGTTAGTATGTAGGTTCTTCAAAAATTGCTGTATCTTTTGATGAGCGTATTGACGAGTGATGTCAGTTTTCTTATTTTACCCGTACTTCCTGTTTTTATATGTTCCCTATCTGATGAATGTGACATTTTAGATGTTCTATCATATCATGTTCAGCCATTATTGGCTTGAACTTATTGTATGTGGATTACAAGGCATCTTTATGATAATGTCAGATACTGCTGATCTGAAACAAATTATTTGATGCGAACAATTTTTTTTTATATTGTTTTAATTAGAATTATGTTTGAACTAAATAAAAGCAGTACTAGTGCTTTAATAAATAAATATCTGGAGTATTGATGGGAAGATGGGAAAAACACAAATGTGTGGTAGTAGGATCCAAATTTACACTGTTTGTTTGCATTTCTAGCTGTCTCACCTGCTGGTAAAAAAAGGGCCTTTATTTTTTCTGTTGGTCACTGATTTGAACCAAAATATGACATAATTGTATTATGTGTATTAATTTAACAATTTTTTGTATATATAATTTGCGAAGGCGGGAAACTGGCAAATGCTATGTCTTGGCAAGAACCAAAATCTAATACTGTCTGCCATTTTGCTTGCTTTTTTTAACCTTTCATCCGGTGTTGTTTCTATCGCATTCAAAAGCAGAAAAGAAAATGAAAACCTAGCTAGCTGTTCCTTTAACATCCATCATTTTGGAATTATTGGAACATATTCCCTACAAGGCATACATATCCCGGTTTCTTTGTTTTCTTTTGTTGACGGACTTGGGGAGGGAGATGGGTATGAAACCAGTTGGTCAACAAACACATGATGCAAGTGGGTGTAGGGTGGGCAGGGATGGTTTGTTTCAGCTGAATCATGTTCGCCGAACCATCAGTTTTCAGGATTCGTAGATTTGTAAGTTGTACCTAATATGATGTTTATTTATAGTTTTGTATATGTTCCAACGGATTGCTATTTAGCATATTGATCTGTTTGGCATGTGCATTTGTCGTTTTCTGTTCTCACCTTGTTTCTCAAGCGTATTGAAGCTGTTTCAGCTTATTGGTGATTCCTGTTCATAGATTTGGCTGTATTTTATGTCTTGTATTGCCTTAAATTCGTGTATGGACTATAAAAAACTGATTGTTTGTTGGAAATAAAGATTTATATCAATCCCTGCTATGTTTTGCCGTTTGTGATCCTATTCTGCTTGGCACAAGGCATAAAATTAGTTTGTTGTGACTTCAACAGACTATTTAAACAAGTTCTTAGTTTCATCTTTATTGGTGATCAATAATTGTTACTGGAATTGTATTAAGATTTAAGTAGCCGTCAAAAGGAGCACGTGAAGTAGATAATAAATCAAGGATATGGAACTCACTTTTACCAATTTGGATTTGAATGTGTGAAAAGATTGGGACTCTTTTTAATTGAAGTGTATATTTCTGTAGCCGCCTTCAGTTTAGTTGCTATGACAATCCTGTGGAAGTCGTATGTTGCATGTATTTTACTGTAATAGGAAGGCATACCTCATGTTTTTATTTCTTAGCCTGAGCATTCTACCCTGGTGTGGAATTGTATTTTCCATAACAAAATTCTTTTCCTTGTTTCCTGGTTGTGGTCTGTACTCTGTATTGCTGAGGGCTGATGATGTGGTGCGGAGTGAAAGCTATATTGCTGAGCTTTGATGGCATGAACTGCGACTTTGGTGAAGATTGAGGTCCCAGTTATCTGGAAATGCTCAAGGTTGGAGGGAGACGCCTTAAATGAAGAGATTTGTAATAGTTGTAGAGTTAGATAGATTGTTGTACGCTTTCATTCAGTAACAAGGAAAAAAACATCAAAGTTCAGCTCATAGCATTTAGATGTGCTGATTGGTTATTCCACTTCTATGGCGTTAAAAAGAAATTAAGCAGATTGTTATGTTTTTTGTGCTAATAAATTGCATATTGCAGTCAATACATTTGCGGTGCCGTTTCTCCTAAGTCGATGATGTTAAATTCAGGTCTGGGTTTGTGAAGTTACATTATTGTGTTGTTTCATCAAATTATATATTTATTGTTTCATTGGAGAAGTTATATATTTATTTTAGACCTATTCTCTTATCGATTCAATTTAAAGGACCCGAATCGATAAAAAAAGTCAATTGAATCCATCCCGTTAAGTTGTCATAATTGGGAAAGATCCAAGTTAATGACCATAGTTGAAACTGAAATATGCAGCGATCATCGACGCTTGCAATGTAACGTCAATGTCTTCGAAAATTTGGTACTCGATATTTGAGATTAAAATGCATCTCAACAGAAGAAATTACACACTGAAAGTGCAAATGCTTGAATGTGTTTCAGAAAAGAACCCATCGATAAACTGTTGTAGATCTTATTTTTCCAACTTAAAACAAGTGGTCTAATCTTGTGGCTCATTGATGTCTCACTAAATATATGACCGTCATTCATAATGTCAAAAGAATCGTATCGAGAAAGATGTTGAATGCATATTCATAATTGAGTTTTAAAGTAATCACAATTGAAGAATCATGTCAAGTCTCTAATTTAGCTCGAGTCTAGAAGTTCATTGAGAAAGTATATCAAGAGTTGATGAGTCTCTATTTATGATCACTATTGAGTATCGAGTTTAGTTATTGATGTAGAGTTAAGGTTGTAATCAGTGATGGAATTAAGATTTTTGTGGAGCGGGTTCAACAAATAAAGAAGTAAGCTGAAAAATGGAGCAAAACAGAATCTAGATGATGAGATAGAGTTAAGGTTGTAATCAGTGGTGGAGTCAAGATTTTCGTGGAGAGGCTCGACATATAAAGAAGTAAACTGAAAAATGTTGCAAAAAGGATTGGGAATGAAAAAATTTAACTTGTCTAATCATGCCGCGTTTAACCTTTGTTCCTACTTCATCCCTATCTCATTGATTGTCTTTAAAAAATTATGATTTTCCCCTTTTAATTTGTACCTACCATTCTACTTTATTTTGAATTTTTAAAAAATAAATAAAATTAGTGTTCATTCAATCACATGTTACTTTGAAAATTGCTTAATATTCTTTAAAAATATGTGGAGATTGAGTTACTAATATTATAATATTATAATGCACATTAAAGGGATAAATAGATGACATCACCCATTTTTAGTTCATTTATTCAATTTCTAAGGTTTGTCATCTATAAAAAAAAAAGATGAATAAATTAAATAAATTTAGTTTTTATTCTAGAATAGAACTAGAAAAAATAAGCAAGAAATATCTTGATATTCATGCCTTTCAAATTTCTTCGTTTGACTAATTTAATTTACCTTATGTTTAAAAATATATTTTTTCTATCTCAATATCAAATTTAAGAACAACTGATGTTTTCTTAAAGAGTTCTTTTGAATTAGTATATAAAAAGAGAGTTACATAAAAAAAATCCAGAGATTAAAAAAGAATAAAATACAAAAATAAAAATTATGTGCCTTTTGAACAAATGAAAATTGAAAAAAATAAAAATAGCATAATGATGATAATAATAATAATAATAATTTTGCTCCAACCAAAAATAATAAATCTATTGAAATTTTGAGCTCAAATGCTGAGTTTTAAGCCAAAATGTTGTCAGTTCAATTTATCGGTTCTTGATTTTTAAATATGCTAATCCAATAACAAACCGATAAGATATTCTTTATTGATTTTAGACATTATCGGTTCAATTTTTGGTTTACCCAATAACAAAATGTCCGTAAAATATTATATGTCTTCTCACTTCTCTAAATGTTTTGATATAAAGAAACAAAAAAAATAATGAGAAATTGCACAAGTAAGAGAAAATATAGTACGAATGCTATAATTTACATGTTATCACCAAAACATAGCATGAAATACCACCTATAGGTAATTTTAGACAAGTTTCTTTTGAAGTAGATACCTGAATACCTAGTATAACATTTTTTATGTTGATCAAATTACAGACCTTTGCAAACTTAAAAATGCTAAAACCTATGATTACAAACTAAAACTAAAATAAACTAGTCCACCAAGACTAAAACTAAAACTAAAACTAAAATCAAATAACTACAATTGTGAACCCTTTAAATTCTTAGGTTTTGAGTAAATAGTAAAACTAATCAAGAGGCCTAGAGTGAAGTTGGTAGAGTACTAATAATTTGATATAGTAATAGTGTCTAATTATATATTAAATTATTAATATTTAATAATTAGGAAGGGTAAAATGATAAATTATAACCATCTTATTGGGTAATCAGTTTACCCAATAACCCATAGTAAAAACCGATATCGAATCAATAACCCAATAATTTTTTTATAAACTCATTAAAAATCCAATAACCGATAACCCAATAACATTTTTCCCATCTAAAATTATAAAGCTACTAAGACTTTGAACCCAAATGCTTAACTACCGAGCTAGCCTCTTTACATGTGCTGATATATATGTGTGTGTGTGTGTGTGTGTGTGTGTGTGTGTGTGTGTGTAGAGAGAGAGAGAGAGAGAGAGAGAGAGAGAGAGAGACAGAGACAGAGAGAGAGACAGAGAGAAAGAGACAGAGAGAGAGACAGAGAGACAGAGAGAGAGAGAGAGAGAGAGACAGACAGAGAGAGAGAGAGAGAGAGAGAGAGAGAGAGAGTCATGAAGACAAAATTTGACCTTATATATGAGATGAATTATCTCCATCTCATTTTATGTCATAATATTTGTCTGGGCATGTGTAACGACCTGTTTAGTCGTTTTGAGCAACAGACTTCAATTCTGGAAAAATTGGCAGAAGCGACGGACCCCGCGACGGACCGTCAAGGGCACGACGGACCGTCGC